CAGCGATGTGAGAGACCGATAAAGTTATACAGAAAACAACAATTCAAGTCGCTGCTGCTAAAGATGGCTCTGCAAGCTCGGTTTTTCACACAACTGTTTATATTTGTCACCATTTATTCCGAGTACTGAGATATGTGTTCCTAACAGTCATTATTTTTATTAAAATCTTAAAGCTGTGACCTAGTTCGTTTCATGTTGTCTTATTTGAAGTTTAGAATAAACGCTGATGTCACCTGGCTGAACGCAGTGTATCGACATGATGTTAGCTGGTCTACAGTTTCCTGTGTTTACCACAGCCAGTAAGCATCAAAGCGTGGCGGGGCTGACCTGAGGCAGAGGCAAGGTTTCAGAGGTGCGTCTCAGAGGCTGAGCCGAAGTAGAAGGACTGTTTCTTCCTGTGTGGCCGATCGTATGCGCTCGCACCTCCAGCTCGGGTCTTCTGCCCTTAAAGCAGAGAGCAACACACATTTTATGTTCCTGCTTTTGCTTATTGTACAACACAGAACAATGAGCCGAAACATTATGACCACCCCCGCCTAACATAGCTTGGTCTCGACTCTTTAAAGGCAAATTAGATTTTGCTTTTCTGTTTCCTGCACTTGGTTTAAAGTTCTGAACCTATTGTTATCTTTGTGGCTAAAACCTTTGCACATTATTTGCTATCAGAGACTTCAGAGCTGAGAGGAAGAAAAGCTGTAGCTCATACCACCGAGCTGGGACTCTGGTCTGAAGATCTGCGTGGAGCCGTATTGTAAGCTGGTGTTGTACGTTGCTCAGGCAAACTCCCCCTCTTCACCTGCAGGAAGGAAGCCGACAGGAAGAAGATAAGATACAGTTTTTATTTCTATTTATGTTCAGAAATCTAACTTTTTTCATCTTATGCATGATTGATTTTTACAGTGAAAGAGACTTCAAAACAAGAACAACCGCAGGTAATGTAATATGGGTCTGCGTTTAAGCTCCTAAAATAGACTGAAGCAGAAAAGTGCATCTTTATACCTTTATGTAACATCATAAATACAAATTAACAAGTTCTTACAACCAGAACGCCCAGTTTTACCGTGAGCTGCTTTCAAATTTGATTGTTTTCAAAGTAAAACACAAACAAGTGCATTACATTCTCAAAAGTATCTCAAATTTATTGATCTCATCGGTTTCCTTCATCATAGGACTCAACATTACTGAGCTTTCAGTTTAGACGTGAGTGGTTGATCAATGAAGAACTTATTACCAAAGGTTAAACTAACATCCAGTGAACATTTTTTGGTTTCCCTTTCAGTTCAACTCAATTCACTTTTATTTATATGGCACCAAATCACAACAACACTTGCCTCAGGGCAACTGTTGTTGTGCCCTGAGGCAAGTGTTGTTGTATGCGTAATGTGTAATTTTTGTCCAAAATGTATCATTCTTTATTAGATAAACTTCCTTAACTGCTTTATAACACAAATAGAGCAGATTTCTCCTGTTTTGGCTTCCTGTTAAATCCAGAATTGAATTCAAAATCCTGCTCCTCACATACAAGGTCTTAAATAATCAGGCCCCATCTTATCTTAATGACCTTGTAGTACCATATCACCCTATTAGAGCACTTCGCTCTCGCTCTGCAGGCCTACTTGTTGTTCCTAGAGTATTTAAAAGTAGAATGGGAGGCAGAGCCTTCAGTTTTCAGGCCCCTGGTTTGGATTCGGGAGACAGACACTATCTCTACTTTAAGATTAGGCTTAAAACTTTCCTTTTTGCTAAAGCATATAGTTAGGGCTGGACCAGGTGACCCTGAGTCCTCCCTTAGTTATGCTGCAATAGACGTAGGCTGCCGGGGATTCCCATGATGCATTGAGTTTTTCCCTTCCAGTCACCTTTCTCACTCACTATGTGTTAACAGACCTCTCTGCATCATATCTGTTATTAACCTCTGTCTCTCTTCCACAGCATGTCTTTTATCCTGTCTTCCTTCTCTCACCCCAACCGGTCGCAGCAGATGGCCCCGCCCCTCCCTGAGCCTGGTTCTGCCGGAGGTTTCTTCCTGTTAAAAGGGAGTTTTTCCTTCCCACTGTCGCCAAAGTGCTGCTCATAGGGGGTCATATGATTGTTGGGTTTTTCTCTGTATCTATGAAGCGCCTTGAGGCGACTTTTGTTGTGATTTGGCGCTATATAAATAAAATTGAATTGAAAAATATCTAATGAGCCAATCACATGGCAACAAGTGCATGTAGACAACCTGCTGAGGTTCAAACAGAGCATCAGAATATAGTTTGCTGATGTCAGAGGTCAGAGAGGAATGACCAGACTGATTCAAGCTGACAGAAAGACAACAGCAATTAAAATCACCACTCATAACAAATTTATGCAGAAAAGCACCTCTGAATGCAAAACACTGCAAACCTTGAAACAGTTGGGATTTAGCTGCAGAAGACCACATCACTGCATGCTGCTGCTGTCAGGCAAAAACACGAAACTAAGGCTACGATTTACATGGGCTCACCAACATTTGACACTTAAAGAAAAACTGTGCCCGGTCTAATGAGTTCTGATATCCTGATGGTAGGGTCAAACCTGAAAGCATGGATCCATCCTGCCTCGTATCAATGGTTCAGACTGGTGGTGATGATGGTTTTTATGGCACACTTTTGGGCCCCTTTTGGGTATTTAATAAAAAAACAAAACTCTACCAACAGAAAGACGCAGAATTCAAAGACTCGAATAAGACATGTAGAAGTTTGCGTGGCGCTTTTAGTTTCTCAGGATTTTTACAGTTTCCCTCCATCACTTTGATGTGCTCACATTAAACCACCTTCTTAGCTTTCATTTCCTCTTCACACTCTTTTACATGATCAGTCAAGGGGGGCAACTGGTTACAGTTCTGCTTTTTATTAGTAAATCATAAACTAAAAACATACTCTATTATTTTCATGTATTTCCTGCTCGCTCTCTGCCTGAACAGGCTTAAAACATTACAGCTTTTCCTACAGCTTAGCTTTAGTGATAACGTGATCATTCTGCTTTTTTCAGTGGCTTCAGATAATCCTCGCATGTTCGTTCACATTCAGGTGCTTCACTTTTACAGCATCTCTTCAACATTAACAGGCCTCTATTAATAATGGGGAGGGAGGCATTGTGAAACTGAGCACATTTATATCTCTGATTCAGTCTCAGTTTCACCCCTGCACCCCTAACACAGTGGCTAAAGTGGTTACGAAGAGGCTTGAACCAAAGCAGCAAATTCTAGAGTGCAACTATGAAGTCTGTGCATGAAAACTGCAATTCCTCTAATGGCCAGTTAAGGCTGCCCCCAAATGTGGGTCCCCATCCGGTCGTTAAGTCTGACGTCACTAGCCGTGTCTGGGCCTAAACTCCGCTGCAGGTCCATATATCAAACGATCACTATG